GCATATTTGTATCTCTGTGAACGGATACCAGGCGTTAGAGACAATCACCTACGCCTATTTTTGAAAATACCCGCATACGTCTGATATTTGATGTCTCTCCGCTAACGGATGCAAGGCTGCCCAGGCAGGGGTGGGACGGGAGATCCAAAGCCGCCCGCAGCGGCCAGAACAGCTCGGGATGCTGCCGGGAGCCTTATGAGCCCCTGTGCTTGTACACTCGGGGACTCGTAGGATTTAATTGACGAGGTACTTGTACTTTATAGGTAGGTACAAGGGGATCCGGATCCGCGCGCCAAAGGACCATCAACGCCTTACCGCCGCGGAAATCGATCGCATTTACACACGTAAAATAATAGCTCAAGTTTCACCAGTTTTCCGCTCTGGGATGCCACGTTTCCCCCCTCCGCATACCCGTAAATACAGGTGGAAAGCAAATCTGGGTGAAACCGGCTGTCCGCGATATTTACAAGGACTTGTGTGTTTACCATCTCCTCGGAACGGACCCTTTTCCCCTTAGCTTTTGGCCAATTATTAAGCCCGTGTGTCCCATTCGTCGCCTGGCCTCGCTTCGCTGGGATTGCTGGGGGAAAGTCCCACATGGTTAAGAATTTTGTGGTCTTCCGGGTTTCTGGGCATCATTCACCCCAAGGGACAAAAACGTTCTTTGACGTCGTCATCGTGGAGGATTTGCCCAGTTTGTCTTTGCTGTTCTGGATCTTTGATTTGCCTTGTCACACCACTTGAACACTGCCGGGTTATTGAGGCATACTCGCCTCGACTGTTGAGGCTCATGGGTAGGTAATGAACTACGTGAGTGTATGGTAAGCCCCAATACCTCGTACTCACTCACACATACTTGTATGCCGGGGAAATGCTTGTTTTCGCCCACGACAATATCCCGCTATCCGGATTCACTGCCCTGATGAGGTTGCTTCCCTATGAAATCTTGGTATCACCTGAGGCGCAACACTGGAAAAGCTTCTTCCCCCCTGGATCTGCAAGTACATGAACACGCCGGCTTATGTAGGCGAATGCCGATCCAAGTACGTGACACGGGGGGCAGAGCTAAAGAACTTCTGCGGCTATTCGACTTACATAACAGGTTCCACTGGGTTGTCGCGGTGGTGAATATATAACTGGCTCTTGCGTATGTCTTCTCACATTCAACAGGAACTCCAATTACACATCATCTCACAAGGACAATGGCGAGCAAGGTGGTCGGAAGTCGAGCATTGACGGGCTGCAATCCAACCCGCCTCTTACAGAGATCCACCCCCATCAGAGTGTCGAGGGTTATAGCAACAACCCCCAGTATCGACCGGAAACATTTCAACACCTCGTCGAAGCGACAAGCCGAGGCTCTGACCGAGCAGCAAAAGGCCATCGTCAAATCAACAGCACCCGTTCTCCAGGAACATGGCGTCACTATCACGAGCCTTTTCTACAAACGACTACTAAACAACCATCCCACTCTGCGCAACATATTCAACACGGCACACCAAGAGACCGGTGCTCAGCCGGCGGCTCTGGCGCACGCTGTTTGGGCCTATGCCAACAATATTGACAACCTGGGCGCGCTGACCACGGCGGTGTCGAGAATCGGGCACAAGCACGCCAGCCTGGACATCCAGCCAGACCAATACCCGATCGTGGGCGAAGAGTTGCTCGCTGCGATCAAAGAGGTGCTCGGCGAGGCTGTGACTGACGACATACTCGACGCGTGGAAAGCGGCCTATGCCCAGCTCGCAGACATCTTCATCAATTTTGAGCGGGACCTCTACAAGCAGGCCGAGAAGACTACAGGGGGGTGGAACGGGTGGCGCACATTCACCGTGGCGAAGAAGGTGCACGAGAGCGACGAGATCGTCTCATTCTACCTCGAACCTGCAGACAAGGGACCCCTCCCCGGATTCCAGTCGGGCCAGTATGTGTCGGTCAGGGTCTTCCTCCCGGAACTCGGCGTCTACCAGCCACGACAGTACAGCCTGTCGGACATCCCGGACGGCAAGCACTTTCGGATATCGGTGAAGAAGGAGTCTGCCAGGGGACAAATCCCCGCCGGGAGGATCTCGAACGTGCTGCACGAGGATATCCCCGAAGGCGCACAGATCGACGTCAGCATGCCGAGGGGAGACTTTTTCCTCGACGTCGACGCCGACACGCCCGTGGTCTTGATCAGCGCCGGCGTCGGCATCACGCCCATGCTGTCCATGTTGGGTACCGTGATCGGGCAGAACAACACCCGGCCCGTCAGCTTCATCCACGCGGTCCGCTCGGGCCACGTCCACGCCATGAAGGACTACCTCGCACGGGTGGTGGAGAAGAACCCACAGGTGAAAAAGGCTGTTTTTTACGAACACGTCGAGGACGGGGACAAAAAGGGCCGCGACTATGACTTTGAGGGGCGCATCGAGTTCGACAAGGTCAAGGAGCTCGCCCTGCTCCCCGACGCGCAGTACTATCTCTGCGGGCCAATCCCGTTCATGCAGCTCCAGCAGCGGGAACTGGAGGCGCTGGGTGTGCCCAAGGAGCGCATCCACTCCGAGGTCTTTGGGTCGGGTGTCGCGTGACGAAGAGCATAGTACCATAAAAGGTGCCCTGTACGACGATGTAAAAAAAAAGAGGAAAGGAAGGGAGGTGTTTAGACCACTGGATTATCATCACGTCTTTATCACGTCTACCAGTTTGCCCAAAGTATTCTGGAACCCTCATGATATGTATCGCCAGTCCACTTGCAGAGATCATGTATTGGCTCGATGGTCGGACCGGTCCAGAAGTAATGTACGAATATCCAAAACACAACATTGTTGTCTTGATTTCCTGAACCTTGTCAAAAGTACCTATGAGGGACTGACAAGCTCCGGACCTGCATCCTCATATGAGGAAAGAGGATTGATAACGTCCTAATAAATACCTGTAACTCGTTGTTGCTAGTCGCTGGTCTCTACGAGTTCCAGGTATATCAAGACACGAGCGTCTGTGGAGTTGAAAACGCCTCGACGGTACAGAGATGGATTGTGTGTCTGTCTATCTAGGAGTCGCTAGTCCGGTTTGGTCAAGCCAGGCCAGATCAAGGACTCAACGCTAGACTTTTCCCATCGATATTTGGAACAAGAAACCTCAAGTCCTCTCTCCCACGAGTGCCACCTATAACCGAAGGTCACCGCCCAGCAAGAAAGCATATGGGTCTAGCATATCTCTACCTACTCCTTCTTACCCTTGACTCGCACAGGGGATACTACTTTGTTTGTTGAATGCCAATACTAATTATCCTCTGGCCCTCGCTCTAGGCATATTAAACTTTAGGCAACAACGACCATGCCTGGGGTGCCCAGCCCTGCCCACGCACCAACGCGGGATATAAGCGAGTACGTCGTCTTGTTGCCCAATCAGAATTTCCTATGAACGGCCTACGGAAGAGGTGAAAGGCGGGGTTTTTCATTTCCTGATATCATGTCATGTGCTTTCGCGTGCCGAAGGCGATAGAACTAGTGACATTGGCGAAGAGGATTGGACGCGTCCAGAATACGAGGACTCGATTGCCAGGTTTTGTTCGGGCACTTGCAGGAAGAGCGAGGGTCTTCAAAGTCAAAGGGGTAAAGAATCGCCGATCCTTTCGCGTCTGCTCGTAAGGGAGGTGTCGTAGAGGAGGTGGTGAGAAAGAGGTATTTAAACAGAGAAAATAGTCGAGAGAAGCCTCTGAAAAGATCCTCTTCATTTTCCTCTTTTTCCGGCTCTTCTCTCGACACAGATACAACTCCAACGAGGTATCCATTGTCTGCCATCGAGGAAATAACTTGATACCATGTCTTCTGAAGCTGCTGCTGCCGCGTGGGTCCCCCCTCCTGAAGGGTCACCATGTTGGATTGAAATTCCTGCTCGCGACATCGAGAAGCTCAAGGTATGAAGGTCAAACAAAGGACAACGAGAGGCACAACGAAGGACATTCTCCCATCCCTCTCCCTCTTCGTCGTCGGACCTCTCTATAAATCTTGCTGACATCGGCGTTGAAAGACCTTCTACAGTAACGTCTTCCCCAATTGGACTTGGAAGCCAAATATTTCCGGCCCAGGACACGAGGTCGCAATGTTCCGATTCAAGGACCCCGAAGGTGAGTCCTTTCAAGGTCCTCCTCCACAGACGGGGTGACTTGTTCGATTGTTTGCTTACAACACCCACTGGTGGTTCCAGGTCTTGGAGGCGGCCTTGTCAAAATGCCCGATGGTTGTGGCCCCAACACGCAGGAGCTGGGATCGGGCGTCACGATCTACCACATGGTCGAGTCGCTGGAGAAGGTGAGTCTCCCAAAATGAAGTGCCTGGGTGTGTTGAGAGACAACAGCGTCTGACTAGGAATTCAAACCAGACCGAAGCGCGCATCCATGAACTGGGCGGGAAGACGGTGCTGCCAAAGACGGCGGAGGGTGACCACGGCGTCTACATCAACGTGACAGATCCCGAGGGAAATAGATTTGGTATTTACCAGATGGTTCGGAACTGTGGCTCTTAATCCTGTGAAATGTCAATATATACTGCGAACAGTAGTTGTTGGAGAGACACCGACAGAAGCAAGTCGTCGAGGGAGAAATCCAAAACCTCGCTAGCCACGCTGCTTTAAGAGAAGTAGGGCGGCATCAAAGAATTTCCTCGTTTGCACATCCCGCCATGGTTCAACCGCATCTTGGCACATTCATTCGCCATCATCCCGCATTTCACAGGGAAAGCTGCCTGCCGCTCTTTACACACGCTCCAGTTTCGCGGTCAACCGATCCCTTGCATTATTTCAATAGCTGGCACATGACTGTCTCAGCCTTCCATTGTCGAAGATGAGCGCAACCTGATCTCCTCCGGCCATACCGGTCGTCCGTTGCTCCGTGTTGGACCGAGAGCGGGTAAAAAAGTCCTCCGCCAGAGAACAACGTTGAGACTCACCTGGTGAACAATCCCCTTGAGAGAGACACTCCTTGCCATAGGACCCAGCTCAATTGCGCACTTTCAACCATGTCCATCAAGTATGTTACCCATGCAATCCCGCCCTCAGTGTCCCAACGCTCATGATGTCATATCCAGTTGGGTTATGCTCGATGGCAAAGGAGCCTTTGTCCCGTTGCCAGGAGAAAGGATCATCCACAAGTCATCGCCGAGAATTGGTCTCGCCATCACCACCCCGTCGACATATCCAGGGAACAATCCAGTGTCAATCCACTGCAACTCTGGCATCGTTTATTTGACCAATCAGAGAGTAAGAATTACAGGGGAATAAACAACAAAGTCATTTCTGACACCATGCACAGATCGTGTATCTGCCAGAGAAGTCCACCTCGGAGCTCCAATCATTCTCCGCGCCCCTTCTCAATTTGCACGACACACATCTTACCCTGCCCTGGTTCGGACCGAATGCCTGGCAGGCCCTCTTACAGCCGGTTCCTGGCGGGAACATTCCCGCAACACAAGCCGCCGTTGAACTCAAGTTGACTTTCAAAGAAGGTGGAGCTCCCGATTTCCATTCCACCTTTGAACAGATCAAGGAGCGACTTCAGCAAGTAGTGTCCACAGCGAGGGAGAATAACTTGACAGGCTCGCGGCAGGATGCCTACTTGGGCAATGTGAATCTGGACAACGTCCATCTTGATCAGCTGCCTTCGTATAACGAGTCTGGGCATGATCCCATAGCTCTGAGCCAATCCAGCGCTACCAGCGAGGACGTGAACTCCCCTATCTTGATGAGTCCCCACACGGCTCCGGAATTGAGGCGAGCTGGAACACCTCAAGGTGAATCGCAGACACCAAGCGACGCGCCTCCAGGGTACGAAGAGACACAACAGCAGAGCATTCAGGCTGAGTTGGACCGAAGATTGTCAGAGACTCGTGGCTGACAGTAAAATATGGAGGCATCACGGACAAAAGGCCTCCTTTCTGCGGTTGTGCATGGCGTTCTCCATAGAAGCAAGAAGGTTCCTCTCTCAGAGATCCGAGGCCAGCCTTATTAAGATTTTATTTCCATTGATTAGCTTATCCTTAGGACGATGATATGCCATTCTAACATTAAAGATGTTATTTCGCGGTGGTATTGTCCTTGGACTCGATCGTGAAAGAGTCCAGAGAACCGAATGGCTTGGCGCCTCAACAGCTCGCTGGCCAATCATGCGCCTTGTAATTTTCCTTCCTCCGAAGCTCAAGCTAGCTCGAACTCTTTGAACTTACAACTCCTTCCACACAACGTTGTAAGTCCAACTCAACGAGACACCAACGATCCTTTCGAGTCTCTAGAGTGGTTGCGCCCATCTCGGACTTCATCTACGTAGTCACTTGACCCATTCTATCTCATCCTCAGCCTTCTCCCCAAACTTCACAATGGGGATCACCGATTTCTTCTCCGACCTTCTGAGCTCCGTCTCGTTTGTTCAGGAGGTCCAAGCCGAAGCTCCCGCCGACGACAACGAAGAGTCAAGTGACAGCAGCGAGGAGGGCAACGACGAAGAAGGTGGTGAGGATAAACAAGAAGGCGAAGAGGAGGGAGGTGAAGACGGAGAGGAAGAGGGCGAAGAAGAGGAGGAAGAAGAGGAAGAGGAAGAGGAGGAGGAGCCTGTAGATCCAAAGCCAAGACTGGAAGAAGGTATGTTTCTCTTTACCATCACAATTGTTCAGAGCAGAGCTGTTATTGCCCTGCGGTAGACTGTGCGAGGACTTGGGAGAAGACTAACAAAAAGCAGAATGCGCCCGATCCGCTCAGTGCCAGGGCTACAAGCACCACTTTGACGAGTGCGTTGAGCGTGTTACTCAACAGGAGGAGAATCCCGACCACAAGGGCCCCAAGGAAAACTGCGTTGAAGAGTGTACGTATAGCAGCCGTCTCTACCAGAGTATCTACCTGCGGCGTGGCAAGAGGACACCAAAGCTGACCACTGCGAAAAACAGTTTTCCACCTCCAACACTGCGCAACACAGTGCGCCGCGCCCAAACTCTTCAAGCAGCTGAAATAGATCACCTTCACACCGACAGCTCATCGAGATCGATAAAAGTTTGCATTGAACAAAGAGACTTGCAAGCAAAAGAGAAGATCTCACAACAAGCCATATGTACTCCCCCAAACGAACGGCCTGACGTGGACCAATAACTTAAGCTGCCCCTAAAGAGACGGGATAGATCCAGATTCCTCTGCTCACATGGATGCAGCTTCTAAGAGGGTTTGGTGTGAAGTGTTCGGGTCGCCCAATGCATCCATCCATCTGTGCTCCACATACATAGTCATCGCGCCTTGTATATACATACCTTATTGCATCAAAGACGGAACGGTTCTCCTTTTCTCTGTTCCGGCGGCATTGCCCTGTTCGTTCCCGTCTATGTTGTCCTTCATGCTCTCGACATGTTACGGAAAAGCGATGTTGATACCACGCATTGGCTCCCACGCTCCTCTCATGGGCTGGGCTTGGTATAGCTTGTTCTACACTGTCGCCAACTTGCCCTGCTCCAGTCAAACCGCATTTCTAGCCTTCTCGCAAGTACCCCGTACTGCACGAGGTACGAGGTGCTCTTTAGTCCGAGGCAAATGATGGCTGGCTGAACGACTGCCTCTGTTCTCGGGCCGTCCGTTCCCAGGCCCACTACTGACCAATCCGCTCCGTCATCTGCGATCGATGCGGTCGGTGGTCTCCTTGCTAACTAACTTGAACACTTTCCCTTTTCGGAAGGAGTTTCGTTTCTTGACAGTGCGGCCCAGCCAGCCATGCCATGCCATGCCGACTCTGGAGTTTTGGTACGAGTACCGAGCATATAGTAGATAGATATCGGTCACTCTCTAGAGCCCAAGGACCAGGTCCGCCAAGATTACCCACTGCGTACGCTCAAGTGACGACTTGACTCCGGGAAACGTTCTTAAGGAAGTGGCTGCGTCTCCCCTTCCATAATCGACATCTCGATGTCCTTTCCTTAATAATATATTCGTGCTCGTACCTGTACTGAGTATGTGTGTCCAATATACAATCACTTCCGTCCAGCTATGAAGATTGTCGTTCTTCCTCTTCGATATTATTTGCTTTCAAATCATTTAAACCTTCAAATATCCAAATATCCCGTGGGCAGACTTCGACATAACTTGCATGTCCCACACAAAGGTTTCCTCGCTTGCCATATATCAGTGTACGTGTTCTCACGCAGACCCGGGATCCTGCCCCTGCGCACGCAATCTCTGCTCATCATCGTCGTCCTCAATTCTGTCGACGTAGCCTTGCACGACCTCGTCTGCGGTGGCGCGATCAGCTTCCCACCGCTTCCTTCTCACACGGGCCTGTCGGCCAAATAAGCCGAGGCATAGAGGTGCCGGCATCACCAGCGCGGCCAGCACAGCTTGAAAGATCAGTGCCTGTTTCATGTTCTGTGGTGGATCGGCATCGGGGCCGGCCTTCAGTGCGTTCATGACGACGATGAAGATGCCGCCCAGAATCTGGCCGCCGCACCAGCAGAGGGAGCTTCCCAACTCGGGTCCCAGAGGATAGTGGATCTCGACGAGGAACTCCAACGCTACTGGGACGAGGCCGAAACTCGCCGCCCCAAGGATAGCGCAGATGACAAAGACGTACGCCAACGAGCGGGATTGCGGCGCCCATATGACCACTATATAGCAGATCGCCAGCACGGGGATGGCCACCTTGACGTAGGCCAGGTAGAACTTATACTTGTCGATGATGGGGCTCGAAATGGCCGCGCAGACGAGGCCGACCACGATCAAGACGGCTCCGGCGATACCGGCATTGGTCTCGCTGAAGCCGTACGGCTCGAAGATTTGATTGAGCAGGGATGAAAAGGCGTTGAAGAAGCCCACGTAAAAGATGAAGGGGAGGAAGAGGAGGTAGAACTCGGTTGAGTGGGACAGAACGTGGAAATCATGGCGCAACGACGTGCGGTCCATGTGGTCCGCCACCGATCCCGCCGATGGTGGGGATGGTGGTCGCGATGGGATGAAAAAGGCCGGCACGCTCGCCACCGAGGAGATGATGGAGATGTACAAGATCATATTGGGGATCTCGTTTGGTTCATCTGCCCAGAAAGGTGAGATGAGCTGGCCCAGCGCTGCGCCAAAGGGGTTCGACAACGATGCCAACGCCGTCGCAGTGGTGCGTCCTGCAGGGCTGAACCAGAGGTTTGAATAGGTCGTGGGCGACGAAAGGACGAACGGCTGCGCAAAGCCAATGATCAACTGACCGAACATGACGCCGCCGAAGTTGTTTGCCCTGGTCGCGCCATATTTGACCCAGTTACCAACCAGCACCAGCGAGGCGGCAATGATGACGGCAGTCTTTGTGCCGTACTTGTGCAGAACATAAAAGGTAGGCGGGGTGGTTACGCAGAAGGCGAAGAGAAACGCCGTCGAAACCCAGTTGATGTTAGTCTCGGTCGTGCCAAAGTACGTCGCCGAGGTTTTGGAAACGGGCGCAAATGCGATCCAGTCCCACGAAACCACAATGTTCAACAGCACTAACTGCGCCAGGCCGAAGAAGCGTCGTTTATACACCTTATATTCGACGGTCGAGGTTGTCGAGATCCGTGATAGTGTCCGGGTCGACGAGAGAAGGCCTCGAGCCCGGTCGTCGAGTGATGGACCTGGAGACTCGGGCGATGAGCTGCTTTCGCCGCTGGTTGTCTCTCGCTGAGAAATGTGTGACTGCTCGACTTTGCCCATGTTGGCGAATTGGAGATGTCGCAATGAGATAGCCGCTGGCCAAAGGTCACGCGCCCAACCTCACAGCAAAGGCCAAAACCCCCTGAACTTTGTCCACAGAACAGTTGTGGGGAGTCGAAGGTGAGGAGTGTGCACTCATTAACTCTCCCTGCCTTCAGGTCTCGACATGTTTCGAGCGCCGACGACACATGTCTGCGGGTGTGGACTATGCAGTGACTGGTTATCAGGACAGGACGGAAGACGGGTGGCACTGGTGGGTAACGGCCGTTGCTTACCACAGATCGGACATCTCAGTGCAATTTGGAAAGGCCTTTACTATAACAAGACTAGCGCCGGGGTCGTGTCGGGTGTTTGCCGGGCCGCACTTGAATAAGGAATGCGACATCTCAACAAGGCTGAGTTGACGAGGCTGAATGTACCTGGTTGCAAGCGCTGTACTCGGTACCATACCGAGTACAATCTTGAGTGCGGATTGCATTTCCATTGTCTTGCAAGTGGAGTCTCTTGTCCTGCTAGAGATGGTTATTGTTGCAAAAACAATGTCTAACACTACAATGGCCTGTCAAGGTTGGGGTCCGGGTGCCTAATGCAGCGCAGATGTCCTGAACCCTGCTTCAAATGCAGGCTGCAGGCCGCAGGCTCCGGGACAGGGGATGGGAAGAGATCTCAGACATTGTGTTTGCTTGAAATGTAACCAACTACGAGCAAACAGAACGGCTAGGAGAAGAACACTCTTCTTGCAGCATGACGGGGACAAGGGACTGGGAAATATAGGTATAGACACCCCTATTCGTGCTTCCTCTACAAGTATGAAGTGGCTGCGTTGGAAGACTGTACCTACTACTCGTAATTAAATGTAGTTGTTTGCAATAATAATTGGCTTCACTAGCTGCTTGTGGCGGCCTCCATCTCTTACCCTAACGTGCTCGCATTGGCACGGAAGGGGAGCCCCTAGAGCCCCTAGAGCCCGAAGCAAACATTCCAAAGCACTCGCCGAGATCAACAAACAAGTGGGCCTAATAGCCCTGGTACAAGTGGTTCCAGGCAGCCCAGTGGTCCCCCCCAATACCAGCCAACGCTGCCCAGCCCCCTGGCGATTGGCTTCTATTACTCGTAGGCGGTCTTCTCAAGCACTCGAACCCTTACTGGGTGTCCATCTACCGGGGCACCCTGCCTTAGTGACTGGGTCGCTATCCG